GTTAAGTGTAAAAAAAAAAGTTTAAAAAAAATTAAAGCAGAAAAAAATAAAGAAGCTAAAAAAAGTCACAAATAAAAAAAATGTAAAATAACACAATTTAAAAAAAAATTCCCCCGCCATACACACGCAAGCATGAGTCCGGTGCGCCAACGTGCGAAAACAATGTTTCCGCCTATTGTGTCACACGTTACATATCACCGCGAACGTCGGAGTGTGAGCCATAATTTTAAGGCCATTAATTACTGATAACACTTATAATAACACTGATAATGTTCCATAACATTTCAAAGGGAAACAGGTTTTTTTCCCCTTTTTTGTTATATAGTAAAAAATAAAAACCCGGAGTGGTGATTAACCCCTAAATCAAATCAATAGGAAAAAATTGCAGAAAATTCAAAAATGGCTTGGCCAGCTGATTTGAAAAATGTTCCGGAGGGGTTGGCAGCGGAAGGGTTAAATACCAGCAAAAGAAAGATATATCTGTCCCCAAAAAATGGTATAAAATTTGTTTCAGTACAGCGTTGCATGACAGAATAAATGCCAGTCAAAGTACTGTAGCACTGACTACTGGTAAATGGCCTGGCCAGTAAGAGGGTTTAACACCCTGGTCTTCAAGTGGTAAATGTAAACCAGCGCCATCCACAGCAGCCATACTGAACACATCTAGAGTGATCCCTGCAGCAGGTGAGTCTATGTTGTAATAGTACATGACCTTCTAATTTCTGGCCCCGTCAGCTCACACCACCTCTCTATCCCCCTGGCGTCTGCTGCAGTTTATAGCGGCACTGTAACCTCCGGCCTGGCAAGCTCACACCACCAACCCTGCCCCGAGAAACTATGCTGCTGACTGGGAGGACTGGAGGAGTCCCCTCTCCGTTCCTTCAGCGCTGACTGGAGGGACGGACAGGGGAAGGGAGCGGGCACAGCTCCAGAGAGGCAGAGCCAGATGACAATCAGTTGGCGGGGTGGATCCTGACAATATTGTCGGGATATTTGACTGCGTTATCAGCATGTAGCGCGCAATAGCTTTATCTGCTATTGCTGAGTTTTGGGTCATAGGAGGACATAGTATATGTCTGTATATTAAAACCCAATTGAATTTTATTCCCTTAAAGTTCTCTAATGCTGCATGTTATGTTTTCTGAGTTTTATCATATATGATCTTCATATGCTGCCACATCAAACATCATGTCACAGTAAAAAGAAGTTATGTGCAAGTTTTTCATCTACCAGTATGTTAACAGCACAATATTGCTTCTTGAGTTTTATCTCTTCAGCCTTGTACACTGTAACACCCAATTCCAATGTGGTAGCAAAAAGTTATTTACAAAGTTGTTGAGTAGGCAAAAAAATATAAACACAATCTTGTCCTCAGTTATTATTTCTTCCTGTGCAGACATGCACCACAGCACACAATTGCATTGTGTGACGTCCCTCGGGTTCGCGGCACTGGCCGACTGCGGTCCACGCTGGAACGCATCGGCCGGGTAGACCTTCGCAGGCCTCCTCCCCCCCCCATGACAGGAGGTATTGTGCGTTCCACGTTGGAACGCGGAAGCACGCCGCGGCCGCATGACGTCACGGCCGCGGGCTATTTAAACCTGCTGGGAACGCTGTAGGGTGTTCGATTATTGGGATCGTTGCCCAAACACCCCAGGAACCTCTCCATGTCCCTTGCAACCATGCAGAACCGGATCCCAAATCTCCCTCAGCAGCCAGCCTCCCCTGGAGTCCTCCTCATTTGAGCCACTGGATTCTTCACCTAAACTGCAAGTATCTGCTAATGGACTGTTGTTCACTTCTGTTGGAACCTATACTCTGCCACCTAGTGGAGCCTTCTCAGTATCCACTCATACTATACCAATGCACATATACTTATGCTGTTTAAGTGAATTGCCTCTGCTGTTTGACCTAGAGACTGCCTTATCTATTCACATTTCATCATTACCATTCCCTGATGTGATCAGCTAAAAGGAATATGGCTTAATATTCCTTGTGCAACTTCACCTTTTGCTTATTAATTTAGCGCTCCGTAATATCTAAATCCCAAACTCTCCGTTTGTGATTGAGAGAGCCGCCTGGGATTATAGCCTGACAACCGCTTATCACAACAAGTTAGAACTACAGCTGGGATCCACTGTACCTCTCCCAAAGTCGGGCGCATGACACATTGTTACAAATGGTAATAGAATTGTAATGCACAGTATTACTGGGTAAACAATAGTGGTAGTACAGTGTCCGTAACAGTAATATAGCTGTTTGTAAACAACACATGTGCATCATTAACCCCTTCATGACTGAGCTTGTTTTTAGTTTCTGTTCGTAAATGACTGACACATTTTTTACATTTTTGCTGTGTGATTTTTCCACGTCAGTAATATACTTTATAAAGCTGCCCACACACCTTACAATTATCTGCAGATTTTCTGTGGTCAGATGGAAAAGGTGCAACAGATTCCTCCTTCTACACTTAACTGTGTGGATGGAGTAATCTCCACCTGGGCCAATCTGTTGCACTTTTTCCATCTGACCACAGAAAATCTGCAGATAAATTGTAAGGTGTGTGGGCAGCTTTACAAAGAGCACCCTCACATATTATATATTGTTTTTAGAGGACAGAAAGGGCTATATAATTATATCACAAATGTGTACCTAACGCCTCACTTAGGACAAATAAAATATAAAAAAAGAGGAAAAAACATAAAGAAAACCATTTTTCCCCAGTTTTGAATTGTAGTATTTTTTAGAAAAACAGCACAACTAAAAAAATGCAATAAATACATTTGTCCTTTATTTGGAAAAACCTCACATCCCTAGGATTTTAGAAATTGTTCTGTACTTCTCAGCCTAAAACTAAACCCTAACATTTTAATCTTTTTTCTCTAAAAACTAAAGCTAAAAGTGGTCACCTGGCATACAATGTCACTGTCACTAAGTGTCACACTTGGTGACAGCGACATACTTTGTACATCACTGCCATGAGGGTTTTTTGAAAAAATTAACCCCTTAGGGTGAAAAAAAATCTGCAGCTCAGCTGCAGATTTTCATTGTAAGGGGTTCATTTTTATATTAATGATGGTATAAAAATATATTTTAATATATCATTTTTATTTTATTTTTACGTTTCACTAGTTTTTTTTTTTAATTTTTTACATTTTAATTTTAATTATATCAAGCAGTCCTTGTGAACTAATCTCACTATTACTGCTTGATAATTTAATTAATTAATTTTTGGTTATCACCAGGCTGCTTCAAACTTAAGAACAGCCAAAATAACCTTAGTGACACTGATATTTTCAGGATCAGATGTCACTAAAGGTTTTCTGATCATTCCAACAATGATCAGAAAACTGCAACATTGTTTCAGGAATAGAAACCTATAGCTTATGTTTCTATTGCTGAAAGGGGGTTTAGGGGGAAAAAAACTGGTATACATCGGGATTTCCTGATCTATACCAGCTGTCAGAGTTGCAAATCTTGCTCTGCTCTCACTGTCAGACACCCGATTCCTGAAAGGGATCGGGTGTCTGAAAAAGCTTAACTCTTTCATTAATGGATGCCTCAATACTGAGGCATTCATTAGATGTCAATGGTGGATGGCCAGCAACAGGGGCAGGAGAAAGGTATGCTGTATGGAATAATAATGTCTTGGGGCCAGAATTAAACCAAAAGTTTAGGGGCTTGGTACTTTGTTATATATGATTGTGATATTATATAGAAAAAACAAGTGTCTAAACAGTTTAAAGTGCAGTGTGATGTGCTCCACATTTAAGTTTATGAAAGTCACGATAAATAAAACCAAATATCTTTTTAATATTGTCCCAAATGTGTATTGCAAGTCCACCCCATGCTCAACTACAACCAAAAGGTTTGTCCAAGTGACAGCTCCAAAGGTGTGTGTTCATTAATGCACTCACCAGAATTTTCAGACCACAAACAGGATGGTCTAAAAGCGCTCTACATAATCCCTGTGGGTATAACTTCTCCTCCACTCCAGACAGAAAATGGTTAATCAACCATCATAAAGATACTCCTCATTTTGTTCTCATATCCCATGAAGGAAAAAAAATACATACTACATAGTGTAATATCTTTTATAAAATGTAATATTAAATGCTCTAAAAACTTTCATCAGAACAAACAAGCAGCGCTGTATAAAAGAAATCCGCCAGTCCCCGCTCAGTTCTTTCCGGTCAGTGAAAGCTTACTCCCACTAAAAGCCCATATGCTGCAATCCTCCTCTCTCCCGGAAGCTCCCTGAGGCAGGCGTGATGGCGTCAACATGTAAACTCCTTCCCGATGCATTTTGTCAATGAGACTTCTCCACACTCAAATCTTGAGTTGGGAGCACCTCACACTGCACTTTGAACTGTTTAGACGCTTGTTTCTATATAACATCACAATTACATTGTTTTCTTTTATATTTTGTATTTGAGATTTATTTTATGATTTTATGTTTTTTATGATTTTGGTATATGCACTTTAGCGTGGTGTGTTTTGTCTTATATTATGCCACAGTTCAGTTAATGCAATGCATTATCGGGGTAACCTATTGGCACTGAAGCAAATTAACCAAAAATGTTGTCGTTTTGGTAAACTGTGACCAGGCATAGTTTGGGTCATACTCTGCATCGACCCAAACCTGAACCTCATCTCTAATAGCTGAGTGTTACTAGGCCTGGGTTTATTGATGTCTTTAGATAGGTGCCCAAACATCATGGATCTTTATTTCATTTCAGCTGATTCCTCCTGAATCCTGGTTTAGGTGAAGCAATTTAGCACTTTAGAAGTTGCATTGATTTCTGGATAACAGTAGATATTTTCTGGTTGTTGCAGTTGTTAAATCCTACTATTATTTAAAATTATTTTGTTATATCCTACTATTATCTAAAGAAACATGGGAAATGTATTTATATGGTGCATGAATGTGAAGGTACTTGTGTGAGAAATGCCTAAGGAATTACAAATTAAATCAGTAGATTTGTGTTTTTTTTTTTAAGTGTGGTAGTAACCCTCTACCTGGACTTACTAAAGAAGAGGACTGTTGTGGCAGTGTTGGAACAGCATGGGGACAGCATAAATGTAACAAGTGTCCACAGTTACCATGTGAGTATTACATAAACAAAGATAGGATTATGTATTGGATCTGCTCATGTATGTTTTCCAAATCTGTTCTTTGTAAAGAACAGACATCTTATTATGTTTTGTTTTAGTATTGGAAAGAGAGAGGGAGGACTAGCACCTTTGTCAGGTTTTTATTGCGGTCTGTGACTCCCATGGAAATATGTCCTCTGACTTCCTTTCTCTTGCAGAGTCAAATCCAAAAAAAAAGTTTTCACAGGAGTGGGATTTTGAATTTAATGATTTTCAACTAAAACTGGCAAAATGTTTTCCTTGTGCATGTGTCAAACATCTGTTTTGTGATGCACAAAGCATTTCACATAACTAAGCAAGAGTTAGTGACCTTAAGCCTTTGCTTGTTTTACTTTTTCTATTTATGGGAGCCAGACTTACTTTGAAAAAAAGCTTTTTTTTAGTCTTTATTTTCTCGTTCTCTAGTGGTGTCCAAAATGTTGCTGTGGAGGCACCCGTGCACGCACGCTCACGGCCGTGCCCGAACCTAGCTGTGCGCGTCCATAGACACACAAAGGGTGGGGTCAGCCATGCCCCCACTCTTGCAGTCACAGTTTGACTGACAGCAGAAGGAGCCTATGGCTCCTCTGCCCTCACTACCCTCCCCCACAACCAGGAAGTTTGGGGAACCCGAAATATCTTCCTGGCCGTGGCGGAGGATACAAGCAGCTGCAGATAAGTGTGGGGGGACAGGGGTTTTATAAAAGTACTGGGTGCTTTATTCGTTAACCAACACCTGTCCATGGCCCTTCCGGAACGGCCGGGCAGGAGTCTTGTAGGAGCGGGAGGATGTCTTAAGACGTCCTGCCCCTCCCCCAACTTGTGTGCAGCGATCAGCGCGCACACGAGTGGGGAACTGTTAACAATGTAAACAGCCAGCGATGGCTGTTTACATTCAAGTGATCAGGCATCTCTAGAGAAGCCCGATCGCTTGCAGGAGCTGCGGGTATACGCCCCCCCCCGTACCTACTTGCTGCCGGTCCAGAGATCTGCTGTTCCCGGTGCGGCTGGGACCGGCACGGTGACGCTCTCAGTGGAGATCAAAGGGAGTTGAGTACACGAACTCCCTTTGATCTCTTCTCCTGTCTCTACGAATGCAAGAAGTGATGTATATTACATCACTTCCTGCATTCAGTGTCACTCTCCGATGCAGAACACCGGTGAGAAGCTGGTGAAGCAGATCTCTGCTTCATCAGCTTCTCTGGGGGTCGCCAGGTGACATTAGGGGTCTTGCAGACCCCTGATGTCTCCATAAAGAGGGCCTGTCATGTGAATTGGCTATCACATACAGGATTACTTAGTACCCTATGTGATAGCAATAAAGTTAAGTGTAAAAAAAAGTTTAAAATTAAATTAAAGCATAAAAAATATAAAGCTAAAAAAATAGTCATAAACAAAATAACACAACATTTTTTTTAAAGTACCCCCCCCCCCACATACACACGTAAACATGCATCGGGTGCGCCAACATGCGAAAACGACAATTCTGCCTATTGTCCTGCACATGTTACACATCGCCGCTAATGTCGGAGCGAGAGCAATAATTCTAGGGCCCATTAATTACTGATAACATTAAACTGATGAGCGGTAAAAGCTTTTAAAGTGTCGCCTATGGCCAATTTTGGGTGTGCTCGTTTTCTGCGATTTCATGGGTGCGCGAAATTTTAAGGCTTGACATGTTTGGTGTCGATTTACCCGACAATTTTACCAAAACGTTGGGGTGATAATAAATGTTTCATAACATTTCATAGGGAAACAGGTTTTTTTTACAAAAGTTAGGGTACTTTTTTTGTTATATAGTAAAAAATGAAAACCCCAGTGGTGATTAAATAAAACCAAAAGAAAGCTCTATCTGTCCCCAAAAAATGGTATAAAATTAATTTCAGTACAGCGTTGCATGACTGAAAAAACATCAGTCAGTCGTACTGCAGCACTGAATACTGAAAAATGGCCTGGGGTTTAACACCCTGGTCTTCAAGTGGTTAATACAGAGAATGCATTAAGGTAAAAACCACCCAGCCTTTAGTACTACTTTAAATTGCAATGAATACTTTTTACAACTTACCGTAACGGGAACTACTACAGATCCTCAACTACTGTTCTGTGTGAAGCCATATGTTTAAATATCAACATACTTTATTGATGAAATCATTTAAAATATGACTTCACAGTTCTGCATATTAAAGGGAATGTCTTGTATGAGCTATATGCTCATATGGCATATAGCATTTACTTCTTATGTACTGGGTGATTCTAAATGTGTGCACTAAATTATGTATATCTTCAAATCTCTGTTCAGCAATATAATTGTATAAGGGAAAATGCCTATAGTGCTGTTGCTCTTAGAAAAGGCAATATCACTTTTATCAACTGGAATAACATCTATTTCTACAATTCTCGGAGATCATATAGGATGCAGCTCAATATTACTTAACCTCTTCCAAGTATCCATCATTGTCCAGAAATTAAAAAAACATTGCTCAGTATTTGATATGTCTTTAACCTACACAGCAGCCATTCCCCCTCAGAATACCAAATAACTTAGTCCATCATGCTGCATAGATAATAATTCTTCAAGCTCTTATATTATCCCATCAGTGTAAAAGTTTGTGTGCACTAAAACCTGTACATTCATGTAAATATCTCCCCCATCAGGAGTGTGCTGTTAAAGTATCAGGTATATAAACTCCAGAATGGTAGGCAGTCTTAGCTCGATAACCTCAACCAATTTTGCCAGTCTCTGACAGCTACAGTAAGAAGGAACATCAATGGTGTCTATGCAGGGCAGTAAATTAAATACTCTACCAACATATCATATTTTATTGTAAAGCGCTGCGCAAACTATTGGCGCTATATACAGTAAATCTTGTATAATAATATCATCACCCCTCACCGCCATGCGGACTTTCAATCATCACTGCCAGTGATGCATAACTTCCGTGAATGTGTTGACAACCCAATGACACGTCCAAGTAATTTATCATGCACTGAACGGTTACTAGGTAACACCTGTTCAGCGGTTGCTGAGGTAAACCTAAATACATGTTTCATCGCTGGAATGTAGGGGCCATCACAGACTTAAACACATAAAATCAATACCATTAAACCCAAATTGGTTGCTTCATCATTTTGTGCCTTATATGGTATAACAAACAAAAACATGTAATTATCAAATACTAAATATTTATTTTTGTTTAACCTATTACTCTTGAAATGTTACGAAACTTTGATTTATTCCTCGAGGAGATGTTGCTTTTAATGTCCAAAGTTATCGGCATTTGTTAACCTTAATATTTTTTTAAAACTGCCTCTGGGATTAGGATAAACCCAAATCTTCAAGCATGGTGTACTTTTTTTCAGCACAGCACAGTGCTGAAAAAAGTACAGGAATGGCTGTTGTGTACGTTAAGGACAGATCAAATACTGAGCAATGTTTTTTAAAAATTTCTGGACAATGATGGATACTTGGAAGAGGTTAAGTAATATTAACCTCTTGCCGCTACGGAATAAATGTCAGTCAAAGTACCGCAGCGCTGAATACTGAAAAATGGCCTGGATGGGAAGGGGGTTTAACACCGCGGATGTCAACTGGTTAAGCTGCATCCTATATGATCTCCCTGGAATTTATTGAAATGTAATTTGTGACATTTCAATAAAGTTCTAACAAAAAAGTAAACAATGTGATGCGTTGCCATCAAGCTCATCAGCACTGTGCCGAGCACGGCTGCTAGTGTGCATAGGTTCTTAATGTTACGATTGTGTCTAAATACAAATTGACAGGCCTCTCATTTGTAAAATTGAAGGTATGTATGTTGTACACATATTCATACAGCCTCTGTCTTTTAGATCTAATTGTTTTCTCCCATGTAAAAGGTGCAGCACACACAGACTATGATGTTAGACAAACCCAGTGGTGTCACAGTCAATGTGTAAGAAGCCTACCTCGTTACGTCCCGGGATCACGACTCGGGACCGCGCATGCGCACAACGGGCTGTAGCGTCTCCTCGCGGCGCAAGTAGACCCTCGGCTCCTCCTCCTATTAGCGCAGGCGCACGAGGCTCCTTAAGACGGGGCCAAACGAATCTTCAGCGTCCGACTGTTTGCAACAGTGAACGCCGAAGATTCACACTCTGCAACCGCAGACCGCAGCAACCAGGGACCAGCACCTCGCAAACCCCACTCAGGGGGTAGCTCCAAGGCACATCAAGGGGGAAGTCTGAGTTTGCCGACCAGGACGGCTAGAGAGAGGACTACTGATGCTCACCATCATCAGCCATAGGAGATACCAGGAGTGTTCTTCCAACCGCAAGTATCCGTACTATCCGTACTTAAGCCGGGACTGTTAAATCTGTATTGTGTGACCAGGGGAATAACAGTATAACTTGCTTGTAGTCAAGTCCAGCTGACTGTCGTTATAAGGAAGTCACTTGTCTCTCTTAGTATACGTCTACTGGGATTCCCTGTGCAGTACCGGGTCTCACCACAGTCTAACCCTGCAGAAGTTAACCCTCTCCCACCTATTTCCTTCAGTTGACATACACAACCTTTCAGTACGGTTTATATGATGTGAAAGGTCTTCTATATTTCTCTACGATACTAAAGTGAGTAATTGAGACCATCAACTGATCAAACCGCAAGTACCCTCTCCGCAGTTGTGATCCAAGGCTTGCGCTGCAGAGACGTTACACAATGAAATGTCTGCACAAGAGGCATCCCAAAGAGAGCAGGCAACGGGCTCATATTGGTTTCCTCCAGGAGACTCATTTCCGGCAGGGCCATGCCCCTTCGTTCAAAGACCACAGATACCCACTAGCTTACTATAGCTTCTCCCCGATAAAGAGTTCCAGAGGGGTGTCCATAGTCCTGTCTCGGGGGCCTGCCCTGGTTATACGTGGACGTACTCGCAGGGAAGGAGGGGCGCCTTTTGATGGTTAAGGGAAAGACACTCTCAGATGGTCACTCTGGTAAATCT